GGGCGACAGCCTGATTGCAACGTTCTGCACCTTTATCTGGAAGCTTCGGAGTAAGCTCGCCTATCCTGCAAAGACCACAAGCACGGGCCACTTACAACAGTGATCTTGCCTCTGAGCGAGTTGCATGTGTCAACAAAACTGAGGGTCTTACTCCAGCAGCGCATCGACTAGCATCGATTAGCTACATTCACATCGTGGCCTGCAATTAGGCTTGGCACGCAACTCCTTAGCGGCTCAAGCCAAAGCAGGGTTCCAGCATCGTACAGCAGAACCCCAAATCCACGTGTGGGTTTGTCTCCAAGTGACAGACTTGTTAAATAGCTTCGGTATCGTTTCGGTTGCGCTTCAAATCAGGCCCTAATAGGGTCCATACACCCTTTACATGGCTGTCATCGTTGGAGGGTTCACCAAGTCGGAAACACAAGGGATCGTGCAGTAAAGGCATGCCGGTGGGAGAATTGCTACCAACAACAGGTGCTGGGGATGTTCAACCCACGGTGAATTCACTGTGCGTAGGGGGACAACTAAAATTGATTGATACACAACTCATAACCAGGGTTTTGACCCAAGTATTCACTAGGTTGCTTACCCTTCTTCATTTCCCTACGAACAAACCACCCAAAGCTCTTTGACTTCTCAAGGTTGGGGGGGGGACTCAGCTACACTTGAAAATCTGCAAACAAACTTGAGGGCATGGTGCTCCCATGGGTGCCATCTTACTGTTCAAAGGACTTGATTCAATGATTTCTGGCTAAACATGACCCATTCAAACAGCAACAACTGGAAACAAAACCACTAAACTGCTACAAAGCCCTCTACCACCAATTCCATGGCTTGGTGCTACAGTGGAATAAGCCGTCTATTCATCAATGAAGCGGCTACGAATCATGGGGCAGCTCACAGGTGCGTGGTGGGCATGCACCCCCCATTTCTGATTTCAGGGTCTGGAACCCAAACAAATCACACCTCCCTGAGTTCCAAAGCGGCCTTGGGAGGCGGCACCCATGAATCAAGGGATCTTCCAGAGGGGGGCAGGCCTAACAAATGCACGGCAAGGGCTGACCCGGAAAAGACCCAGGAGCTGAGGGACCCCCTCTCGGACCTTCATGGGTGACACCGCGTCTTAGCCCCGGGGCTCATTCAGAGTGCAGAACCCCTACGTGTACAGTTGGGGATGGCCCGAACCCAAGTCTGGCGGCATTGTGATCTGTTGTGTGTGGTTCGGGTCGTCCTTGTAGGGGGTTTCCACCAACCTCCAATGCAATCTACGACCATGGACCATGAAACATAACCACGCCTGGACCCGCGCAGAAGGGCATACTTGTCGGCCCAATATGCGAATAGGCAATACAGCGCCTGGCCGGTGAAGAACAAAGCGGCCGGAATGGATGGCGCTGGGAAGCGATTAGAATCAAACTGCAACCAGTACGTATGTTCAACAAACAAGATCTCAAAGGACCCCTAGGGGCCCCTGAACCCTAAACCAACCCCCCTGGTTTCCAACACGAGACCCTGCTCCAAATTATTATACCAATGAGGCTAAACAAGAAAAAAAAAAAGCAACAAAGGGAAGGGGGTCAAGGAGAGGCGGGGGAATAGACTCAGAGTGGCAGGCCAGGAACTCGACTCTTTGCATTACTTCTCATTGGATAAACAAAAGCAGCCACTTTACAAAACCTGCCTATATAACCCAGATCCACGTCAAATCAAGGACTCAAGGAGTTGAACATTTTCAGCTGGGGTATGTGCTAACATAGAGAATCCCCCCGAAATTGTTTGTTTCCTTGGTTGCCTTTCAATACCCACAGGGGCCCCAATGTTCTGAACATCTACATATCGTCTTAAAACAGGTACCCCCCAAATTGTGGTTTAGTTTCCCTTTCAAGCAACCCCAAACAGGATACGCTTAAGAGAAACACATACTGCCTGCTTCAGTGAGACACCATGACTTTCTCGGCATGTCGCGTTGCAGCTTTGCCCACCCTATGGGCTCATCCCAAATCCCCTGCCCAGATCAGGAAATCGTGGGTTAAGCTGTTGCAACCCTGAACAAACGAGTGCGATTTGATTTCGTTTGAGGCTCGGTACATTTTTTTGGGGTTGGCTTCACGGAACACCAAAAAGAAACCAGCTCATGTCCCCGATTTTGAGACGGACCCAAACATGACCCAACACTGGCTTGTCCCAAAACTCAGGGGGACCCCAACCAACAAATGGCTTTCCGGAAGCTGGCTTTTAATGCCAACCAAAACGCTCTCCGCGGAAAGAAAAAAACAAAAACATCGAACTCGAACAGTTGCCAACCCAAAAATAATCAAAATGTGAATTGCTGAAATCAAGGCGGTCGGAGGTGCCCGGGTAAAATGTTCAATTGCCAAAGTCCAAACTTGCTCGGGAGGTGCTACAAAGAAGCCCCATGCTGAAAACCCAATGTCATTGAGGGCACGATGAGGATTGGCCGTGGCTCACATCCAGTTGACAACAGTTCTCACATGGTCAGTTTATGGATGCTGGCTTTGTCCTCGCTGACCAAAAGGCGACCAGGCAGTGTTTGCTGCTTGAGAATTCCATTTGATTCCCTTGCTCGCTGAAATGTCATTGATCTCCTGGCGCAAAGAAGCCTAGAGTGCCCCGTTATTCTTGACGAGGTGAATGGCAAACTTGTTGGTGCCATGCAAACATGGGCCTACATGGGATGTGTGCCTAGCTTTGAAACGAATGCCAATCCACGTGCGAAGAATCTGAAGCCCCGCTCGTGGCAAGAGCAGATACTTTGAAAGATCACCAACTGGAGAATCACATTGGGAGTTGCTGAAAATACGCGGCGCGTAAATTGTGCCCCTAAAGCAAGTCCTTGGCCCCCCTTTGAAAGATGGGTTTCCAGTGTGCACTAGAGTTACATGTCCTCTTTAAACATCACTCCACCAAGAGGCAACTCATTTGAAACATGTTGTGGGCCAATGTATCTTCCATGCTGAGAGCCCTGACATAAGCAACATCCTTTGCCGCGGTGTCATGACCATGTAGGACTTTGCTAGTTGCAAAGAAACCCAACCACAATACCTTGGCACATATGGGGTTTTGTGCCACGGTCTCGGCTTGCAATAGTTCGGGCAACCGTCGACACCATTCGACACCTCTGTGTAGACATATATATATATATAATACATATTGGTATGCAAATCTCTGATATTATGGCATGGTGTCCCCTTATTTTATTTTTGGTTGGGGGCGGTGATCGGTTGGTGGTAGAAACCCTCTAAGACCCAAGCGCTGTCCGGGATCCAACTCTTGCCATGATCAACATGGAACTCAAGGGGCCCCCGAAAGCAGGGTGCACTTTCGGGAAATTCCTTTGGGATTGTCTAAAGGGAAACCGACAGGACCCCGACCCTTTTTAGTGAAGTATTCCCAAAGAATGGCCCAAGGACCGCGCACGTTCTTAGCGAAGGGCAGAGACGTGCCGGGCCGACCCCGCACAAGTAGAGAACCGGGAAGCCAGAGGAGTACATGAAGACGCAAAAGACCTTGCCACGAGTCGTTTCCAACTTTGACACGAGCCCTAAAACCATCCCAGCTTCGAGCATTATTTTCCCACCACCATGCCTTGCCAATCAAAATACCTTCTTGTTGGTTGGTGTATAGGAAGGGCCTGGCTTTAGCCCGACAATAACCTCGGATTGCAAGTGCTCCTTTGCGGGGGGTATACCCATTTGGGTGAAGGGCTGTACAGTCTCAGATAATGAACCCTTGTCTGCATAATCCTTACGAAAGACGGCCAGTTCCGGCCCGAACACCTGGCGGTGTAAGCCTCTTCGAATCCAGCTTTCGAGGCCAAGTCCTGCAAACAGTTGAGCCTCACACTACAACCAGCGTCTCCGCCACTCGCAGGGACAACGTCCACTCTGGCAGGAGGTGGTACCTCAGTGCAAAAGCTAAGCAAAAGAGAAATGCAAAATGCTGCGGGCTGATGCAGGTTTTCAGCATTGGGTACCCTCCAAGAATAGCTTTGACCCAGAAACTACTCTTTTGAGAATTCAACCACCCTCAATTCATTCTTGGATTCAAACAATGGAATCCTGGATTGAAACAGAATGTCAACGTCACTTCATGTTGCTTTCCAAAGGGGATGACCCAAAAGCCTCAACTCAGGGATAATGCAATCCAATCTATTCGCAAAGGCAAGTGACAACAAGGTTTGCGTACAAAACCATACCCAATCATTTTTGTTGGGCCTCCCCAAGCCCCACCCCCCCCCCCCCCCCCGCCACCGATTCAAGGTGCCCCCCTGCAGCCCCCAAGCTTGAATCCACCAATACTAAGCCACTATTCAACCCCGCAAGTTTGCCCAAAAAATGCACTTCCTCCCCAACAAATGCCTTGATCGAGGGGGAGGAACCCTCCTGAAAATATCAGTTTTTGGGGCTTGTCCAAACCTTGTCGACCTCACGGGCGGGGGACCTTTACAATCAGAAACCATCAAGTGAGTATGGGCTTTTAATTGGGGACCCTTTCATGGACAAATGTCCATCGGCAAAACGATTTACAGGTATTCTCCATTGTTCCATTTTCCAACAACTGTCAGCCAACTTCCAGCGAGTTTCCGGATCCATAAAACCCCCACCATAGACTGTGTTTCGCCTTGGACCTACAAAGGGTTCCCGGAAAAAAAACTGGGCACGCCAGAGTGGCTTCATATACGCAACAAGTCAAGGGTCGGAGCCTGCCTCATCCGAATGACATCTGCCCTCAAAAGTCATTTGGTGGTTCCCACAAAAATCCTCACTTTCATGATCCCATTTTAAGGCAAAACACAGTCATGAGAGGGGTCCATTCTCAGTGCGGCAGTCTCTCCGGGGGGGAGGGCGGGTTCAAACGGTGTGTCTCAAAATAAAAGACCCCGGACAACGAGTGTTCCCTTTTGGTTTCCCTGTAAATTAAAACCACCCAAAATTGGAACCACCATTTCGCGAAACCCAGTGGGTGTTTTGTGGCAGGAGCTCCAGTGCCAGGGCCAAGGGGAACGGATGCAAAAGGTGGTGACACGGCTGCCGAATGTGTCAGCAGGTTCTCAAACGCGCCGTGGCGATGTACTGGACACACCGGACCCTAGACCCGAGAAGGTCCGGCCTCCAAAGGTTGCAAAACGCACTTTTCCCGAATTCCGGGAAGCCATTCCTGCACTTGCATACCTCCAAGTTGCCTCGGAGCACGGGAGCCGCCCCAAATTACCAATGCTTGTGCCAGAAGCTTGAGCGGAAAGGTCCCATTCCAAAGGCGGAGCCGCCTCCATCTGCCCCGGCACCCAAAAGCCGTTGTGTCGCCGGGCTGCCGACCAAACAACAACCAACCAACCCTTGCTGTTCAACTTACTGGAAACTCCGGACTTTTAAGCGCCTGGTTCATTGATCCGGAGGACGATGCCAGCCGGAGGAAGCCCAATAAGGATCACCCCACAAAGGAACCACCCTTGAATGGCACGGACCTCGGATAGATCCGACCTGATGGTGAAATCAATTCACCCGGCTGCTCTTTAAAACGAAGATAGAATCAACAAAAACCCAACAACCTAATTGGTTCCGGGTGCTTTTGATTCTAGATTCTAGCATGGCTTTGTGCTTGGCTTCGGAGCAAACGGTGAACCAACCGCCCATCAGCCGGGGCCGCAGCTCGTTCAGCAGCTCTTGGGAATGCGTGTCTGGCCAAATCCCACGTGCTTAGTTCAGGGAGGGAAATGGCCACGTTGCCTTCCAACTGATCAATCCAAGATCCCTCATGCAATGGATGCAAGGATACCTGGTATCACACACACACACAATACCCTTTGGTGACTTACGAGGCTGTCCGAAACGGCAAAGGATCTTGTTACTTGTTGTCCTCAGCATGTTGTGAAATCTTCAAACGCAATGCCTCGAGGGAACCCTCACAATTCCCCCACTTTGTTCATTCTCTTTGATTGGAGGTTGTTGAAGTCTCTGCGGACCCTTCCACGTCGTTTCCGCAGGCCCAAGCCAAAGGTTTCTTCCGTGGAAGCCGAAAGCCATGATGTTTGTCGTTTGTTTCTGCTTGCTTCTGCGGCTTGCGTGTTGCACGCTTTGCTTCCGCGAGTATTGGCGCACAAAGAAATGTGAAACTTAAAGCTCATGTCAAAGCGAAAAGCTTCGGCGCACCTTCCGCGAAAAGATCCCTTCCGCAAAACCTTCCGCTTGCTTCCACTGGCGGGGGTGTACATGTTCAATTGTCTCTCGCCACTTTGAGCATGGAGCCGCCTGAGGTTGGGCCGGGGGTGGAAATCATCTTAGTCTGGCGATTCTTTGGATTGATCCCACGTAAACTGGGCAGCTCCGGAGGTGATTCTGGTCATTTCGGAAGTCAAAACCAAGGAACGTCCCAAAATTGCCTTTCAGCTGTATCCCCTTTGAGACCAGAAAGGAGCACCCGTGCTCGTGCCAAAACCGCCTTCCGGACAAAACTCGCGCAACCTTGCCTTTGCAGAAGAACCATCTGATGAGGGGGTCGACAGTCCAAACCTGGCCAATGGGTTCAAAAGCAGCAGCAACCAGATCATGATGCAAAGCAGGTGTCTCGAAATTTGACGCACTGCCACACATTCTCAATGCACCCCTGTACATTTGTCACGCTGCCGCTGCCTTGGTTGACGTTGGAAGGGGAGCAACAAATTATTTTTTAGCAGTCAAGTAGGGATTTCCCACTAAACCACAATAAGCAAACATTTAAAATGTTTCCCAACAACAACCATGCTGTGAGGACAGTTGTTGAACAACCTCCCTCTTCGTCAACCTCCCTCTTCGTCAAAGGCAGAGGATCTGCCCCCGCAAGCTGCGTCACTCGATCCCCACAGGTGTTCTAACATGAGGCTTGTGTCGGTGCTGAAGCCCTCTTCAGTGGCGGCACAATATGTCACATGTTGCTGGGCCTACAAATTGACTTGAAAGCCCAAAACGCCATGATTGGGCAATGTCTTAAAGAGAAGCCGAAGGGAATTCGCAGCCTGGGAATCACCTTTGGGGGACACATTTGATTGCCCACCAGGGTACACCAGCAACATGTTGTCACATTCTGCGACCCCAGAGGTGGGTGTGTCTTACTTTTGAGGCTCGGGTACATGCTTGAGGTTGGTTTGAAGAGACACCATCAAACCGAAATCCATTTTAGGGGGTCCAAGTCCTGTTGATGACATACCCAATTGGATGTCTTGAACAAGGAGAACCCCGAAAAAAGGATTGTTTCCTTTGGGTCTTCTTTTAAACCAGCCGAACAAGGCTACCCTCGCAAAAAAGAGACACAGCCATTTGCCCGAGCAATCCCGCGCTTCGAAAAGCGAGGCAGGCGGTGCCCAAAGCACCGGCAGCGCCACGGAGCACGCGATCTGCAGATTCCGAAGGAAAAAAAAAGAGGCTGTTCAGTTACTAGGTCCTCCAGTAGAGAGGTTAGAATAAAGGTACCCGATTTTTATTTTATTTTTCGGTAGTCTATTTTCGTAGGGGAACCCTCCCCCAAAAAGGGTGAGAAAGGGCACTACTGGGGGACCTAGGTTACCCAAAAAGTCCAGCCGCCGGCCCTCCGATCACCGCTTCTCTGAACTTGAAGGATCCGGATTCTGTAGGCAGGTTGAACGACAAAACCATTTGCAGGGGTAGTCCGTGCCTAGCTTTGCAGCGTCTTCAGGGGTGCCCGCCCGTCATTCGGAAAAAAAAGAAGGAAACACTGAAATAGGGATGCTCCCAAAATCCGATCAGGGTGGAGCATGGGCCCATGGAAGGAAAGGAGCTATCTGTTTCTTCTACCCTTTGTGGTTTGGCCGTGGAGTTTTTTGACCTCAGCATCTGCCCCCCAAAGATAGCATGATTGATTCTGGACAATCTACTGTGAACCATTGTGAACCTGAATCGTGAATTAGTTTCAAGAGAGACCCCAGCGAGTTTTGGCCTATCTATAGGATCCAAACAAGTCACTATAGCTGCCTTCATTACCTGTAGATTTTAGACGAATGGTTCTCATACTGCAGGAGTTACTGGATCCTCTCCACTGAACATGAATGGATCCCTCCAGAAGGGGCTCGGAGCCTCATGGGTCCAACGCCATTTTTCCAGCAAGGAAACGGTCAAAGGGCAAACAAATGGCAGGGGATGTTGCATGTGCCCTTCAGGCACACATCACCCCGCTGGAAGCTCACTTCAAATTAATCTCCATGAGTAAACCATCAAAAGAAAACAAGTTACGGACCCTTGTTCTTGAGAAGGCCTCCCGTCCACTCCGAATATTTTTTGGAAATCGGGTAAAGTCTCCCTCTTCTTTGGTGGCCTTCAGGGGAGAAGCTTTTCAAGGCCTGCTGAAAGCAAACAACTTTTGCCAACTCACGTCTGTGCAAACGGGTATGTGTCAAAATAGCGGGACCCCCTCTCAAAATGGCGGCTTTGATTTTGGTTTCCCCGCAAACCAAACCCCAAAAAGGGTACCCTCAAAAACACAATCCCAAAGGTGCTTGTGAAAAATACGGGATCAAAAGGCTACCCTTTTGGAAGGAGAGACAACATCTTATGGTTTTGGTGCAGCCCAGGGTTGGAGGGAATGAATCCTTCAAACCCAGCCAGGCCTGGTCAATGGGAGCAAGTCACAGAAGCAAAGTTTCCCCGAAAAGGCAAAACACATCACCTGTGGGTATGTCAACAAAAGCCTGCATGTGTTGATAAACAGCATGGTGATGGTTCGCATCTTCGAACCTGCGGTCGGCCCCCAATTTTGGCTCCCCAAAGCTGCCTGACAAAGGATGGTGATCACCAACATGTTGCCGATGGTCACAAACCTCGAGAGTGCTTTGCTTCTCGGAGCCCGAGAAAAGCCCAACGGTCAAAACAGGTCCGAGGCGAAAGCGAACTCCAGACTATGACTTATCTGCTGAGTTGATATGGACAAAAGAAGTTCAAACTTTCGGGCCTTTCTGCAAAAGAAGAAGCAGCCAACCAACCACAAGACAAAGCTTGTCAACTCAACAGGCTGAAGAGACGGCTCTTCAGCCATAGCTATCACAGTCACCCAGCTTCTCAGCATTGCCAGGGTCGAACTAGGAATCATTAATCCTTCGGGAGTCTAGGAACATATCATATATGCTGATCAGGTGGGCAATCCAAAACTTTCCCACTTCAAAGGGGGCGCTCCAATCGGAATCAAGACAGCCTCGAGGAAGGTCCGTCACTTGATTTTGCGGTTTGCCCCTAGCTCCCCAAAATGTGTTCAGAGAGAATGGAAGGATGGCGACATGAGGGGGGAGGGTTAAGACCCTTTTGGATGCCATGTTATGCTACTATCCAGCCATTTTGCCACCCATGGTTGCCAAGGTAGAATCATTGATTGCCCTTAGCGGTTAACATGGGAATTAACCCTACACCACTACATCGAACACAAGTGACTTCCTTGCAGGAAATGGTTGGCAAATGATTCCACCCTATCCCCTAAGCAAGACTATGTAAGGGGGTGATCGAAATAGTTGCCAAAATGGACATCTTTATATCGGAAACCCAAATAGAAGTGCCTCTTCGGCTGTGCAAAGTGGGGATCTGGAAACCTGCCCTCCAACCATAAGTCTCTGGCTCGGACGAGTTTCCTACCAGAAAACTTCTGGATTCCGTAGCAGGATCAAACTGGCTGCGGCACAACACCCAGTCGGCCATTTGCTGGTTCGCTGAAAGCCAGCTGTCTGGCCGCACATTTCAACTCGGCCTGAAAGGGTTCCGCGGGGTGTGTGGCTTTTGAGGAAGCCATTTCTTTGGGTTTTCAAGAGAAACCCAAAGGAAGCCAACCATTGTGTTCCCCTTGACAAAGACAAAGCCACTGTTCATGACATCATATTCCTGTTTATATGTGTTTTTTTATCGCCCCTTTCGATTCCCTTTGAGAAACCCAAAGTTTGGATCCTGAATCTCCAGATTCGCAGCACTGCTTCGGTCGAAGCGGCCAGAGAGGCGTAAGGTCGTCGAAAGGCCCCTGTCCAAATTTCAACCTCAGCAAGTCGCCCAGACCTCCAAAGGTCCAAAGGTTGGGTTCTCAGTTCCTGCAAACACCAACTTAAGTGCCCTTTCCCAACTTTGCAACACACCCATATCCTACAGGGTAGACCTTTTACTCCTTTTGGTTTGTGAGGGTTGCTCCTGTAATTTTGGTCTCTCTGGCACGTCTGAAATTATGTGATATTCTCAATTCTCAATTATGTGTATATGTGGTTGTTATATTTGATGGAAGTACTCCCGACTTACCGTACCAACTCGTGGCCACTGTTGCTATGCGCGATATGTGAGTTGCTCACCGTAGTTCACCAAGCAGCACAAGGTTCTTTCAGTTGGGCGCGTTTTACTTCTAGCTGTTGGCACTGCTTTCAGCCTAAGCGGATGCTCCTGTGTACTGGTCAATGGTCATTGCCATAGATGTTTACGCGCTTTTGTCCTTCCAACGGGAAGCTCTGGGCGGCTTTGCATTGAGTTGGGGTCTGAAGCTGCCCCTGCAAAAAGTGTTCAACTTGTTGTCGAGTCCAATGGAACAACGCCCACTGTTGCAACCAAAAAGCTGAAGTCCAAAGATCCAACAAAATAGCCATCAAGAGGGAAATGGCTTCCCGTAGTCAACGAATTGTTGGATGATATTGGTTCATCAAGAATAAGTCCGAACAAAGACCTTGTGCCGGGTTTCCACCATGGGACCCTTGACAACGCAAAAGGAAAGGTTGGTGCCTAAACCCGATATTCTACCGGTCCTTTATTAGCGAAGTGTGCCAAGTCCATCCATCCTCTCACCTGACGGTTTGACCATTTCTCACATTGGCCAGGCGTTTGCCCACTCAGAGCCGAACGCGCCGAAGAAGGAGTTGTCTGAGGTGTAGACGTTCATACCAATCTGCGGCGTAGGACAGCCAATTGTGGGGGAGAAAACATAAACGACAACCCCTTCTCTTTTGCGGGACCTGAAGAGGGATCCCCAGCCCGAAAGGTCGAGAAAGGAAACTCATCTTGGGGTTGGCCATTGTTGGGTGCTGACCCACCAAGGAAAAACCGATTTGGGGTGAAACCCACTGAACAAGTGTGTCAGGACAACAGCTTGGCTCATGTGGATTGGCCAACAAAGAGCCCAAACCTGTTATCTGCCACACAAATGTAACCTTTTGGAACCTTGACTAAAATAGGCCAAAAGGGGAAAACACAAGCTCAAAAAGTCGGCTTGGGACAAGTGAGTCTCCCCACAACACATTACGCCCAACTCAGTGAGTTGATGGAAGCTCCAAGCCCATCACCAGGAGGTAGACCACCGCAGTGTTCACCAGCGTGGCGAAGAAGAGGTTGAACCTTCCGCGAGAAAAGCCGTGGCCCTGGATGTTGGAGGACCCTCAATTGGCGGTTTGGATTGATCCTTTTGGTTTTTAAGCTGTGGCTCTTGTAGAGGATGAAAGGGAAACCACCCAACCTCCAAAACACCAATGCAAGTCCTGTTGGAAAAAGCAGATTTGACTGGTACAACGCTTGAACCCACCAAACTGAGAACCAAACCGACACCAGTGGTGGCGCTCCGAAATTCGGATATACAAGCTGCAGGTTGGTGCTCCTTGGAAGTGGTCTTCCGATCTGCAAAAGTCCGAATGGTGGTCGAGGAGCTAGTCTTTTGTCCCTACCTGTGATCCCTATGCGGAGGAAAACAATCCAGTGACTAGATTCTTAGATTGGTCATAGATCGGCCTTCTTGCTCAGTTGGCAATTAGCTTTTGTTTGCTTGCCAGTTTCGAGTACAGACCCCTTGTGGATGTGCAAAGAGAAACCAAACGAAGCCTTGCGAGTTGTGAGGGTGCGCATCCTATTTCGAAACACACTGGGTTGTTTGGCCCAAGAAAAACACCGACATTTCTGGAAAAACCACATGGTCTAGTTCCTGGATGTGGGGTCCGCAAAATCAGTCCAGCCGTCAGGCAAGCCCCAAGTTTCGGAGGGTTGAAAAGGTTTGGAGGAAACAGAGAAAAGTTGGTTTTCTCTCGGAGAAAGAAACACAAGCAAACAAACTGAAACAGACAATTCAGGGACCGTGCGTTCTCGAAAATATCCCTGTTCTGACATGTCTCAGGGGTCGTCATATTTCCCACCCAAGCGTCGCACCGTTCAATGCGAGATCGCTTGACATGCCGATGAATGCCAACGTGAACTGCTATGCCTGAGCCCCTTCCAAATGGGAAGTAGAACTACCTTTGTGTTGAGGTCAGAAGAAAAAACAACAACACGCATTTGGTGGTTGCTAATCTTGGATGAGTCGCCTGGCGGGATGCGGAATAAGTCGGGAACGTCCTATGGTTCAGCCGGGAAGTCAAGGTAACCCCACCATCGGGAGGGGACCCTCCCGTTTGTCCTGCCAAGTCTGCCCAAAGCTCTGAGGAGAATGACAAAACATTGACCAAGCAGCCAAACGGGGAACAACATACACATCACTAAACCTTCAAGTGGGGACACCAACGGGTCGCTTTAGGTCAACTCGCTTTGAAAACGCCCTTGGTGTGTCCTTTCATCTCTTTTTTTTGGTGGGCACTCGTTCTTTAGGTACTTAAGGGAAAGGAACAGGACATGCATCGCCAAAGGTTGCCTGGGATAGATTGGGCCTCCCTATTTCGAGGTTCCCAGCAATGTTGGGGAGAAAGCTTGGCAAGGGTCGCAATCCCCGAGCGGGGCCTAACCTTTTTTCATTTTTTGGGGGTTCCCTTGACCATGAATATTAGTCGGAACCACCTCAAAAGATGCCTGGTGGACATGAAACCCTTATATAATATACATCCCTTACCAAGTTCTAATGTCCACCAAGGGGTTCCCAATGAAATTTCATAGCCACTTTGAACATGCCCATCCCCTGCCATTCGAGGCTCTGGCACTTGACTCGCCGCCAGGTCCGTGGCAGTTTGGTACCGCCCAAGGCTGTCGAAGTACCTGAGTCGGAAGGCCAAAAACACCCGGGGCAAATGTACATGGAAGACGAAATCTGGAGGAACGGAGGTCCAAATGTCCTGAAAAACAATGGTTTGTTAGGGGTTCCATGGTACACTCGAAGGTTCGGTATGTTTTTGAACAGCGGTAGCCCCTTAGGAAAACCTGAAAAAGGATGGATAAATTCGTCATGCTAGAACAACTGTTTGGCCCGATTGTGACATAAAACGGCAAGAAAGCTGGGGTTGACAAGACTCCCATTTGCGTGACATGAAACATGGGGCTTTGTAAGACCTCTTTGTGACTAGAGGTGCCTGTACAATAGTGGCTGATGATGCCACGCTCCAACCCCAGCTGAACATCTCCTCACCAGTGCGCGTGCTTCCATGTCGTTGAATTGTGTTTATTCCAAATCCAACAGCCCTCCTCCACCTGGCTTTCCTCACTCATCGTGACTTCCATTTGTCAAAGGCACAGCTCAAACAAGACATTCACGCATCAGTCGCGCCACATTCCATCCCATTGGGACACATATGGCAAGGTTTCCTGAGGTAGGAGACCCCAATAGGAGACCGCGCAACAATCACAAAAAACCGGGTAAACTTAGCCCCGCTGAGGCCCGCACGCAAAAATGATCAACAGGACGTTGTTGATGACCATCACCGCAATCACCTGAATATCACGGCCATGCTGCGTCCAGCAAGGGAAACGCCAAGGGCCCCCCGACATTGCAGGAAAGGCTCTAATACGCCTCTTAGAAGGGGTTCTTGGAAGGGTTCTTAGAGGGATAGGGGGGCTCTATCTCCGGGATTGAGACATTTGCGTAGCAAATCCATTTGCAATGGCACAAGCATATCAGCAAGTTGAGGCATCGTGCCTACTGCAATCGAAGGGTGCAAGGCTCAGCGCCGCAAACCAACCCGCATCCGCTGTGTCACGTGTTTTAGAGCATCATGTCATATTTGCTTTCTCTGGTTTTGAAGGACATTCAAAAGGCCCATGGCCTTTCTTTGGAAAACGGTTCGCGGGAATGGCGTGGTTCCATGGACGGACGGCTTCAGCGGACATGCGCTGGCGAACACCCCCCCCGCTGGAAAAAACAAAATATCATGAGAAGCAGGCTAAAGGGAAAGGAGCAGCGCGCGGCGGCAACTGCAAGTACAATTGTCGATCCTGACCTCTACGTACTACTTTCGCAGTGACAAGCTGTAGCTCAAACATGTGCTTACCATGCTACTTTCCTATAGTTCAACTAGCGACTTTCCTGCCGGAGCTGCGAAAGTGTACTTTGCCTACTAATTACTGTCAAACTGACAAGTTGCGACTAAAGTGGACTTTGCGAGGCACTGTCATACTACTGGCTGTCTAACTTAGAAGCTGCGGAGATCAAGCAGGAATCGAGCCCGGGGCCGCTCGCTTACAAGAGCAGGCGCAAACGCAAACCGCGAGACAAACTTCCACGGCCGTGCTCCGACTAGAAAGAGTAGCGTTTTATTGGCGCTTCGTGCTAGCGATGCGCACCATCTCCCTAGAGGGTTGCGCGCACCGCAGAGGGCCGCAAAGTCCTCAGCTTTTTAAGATCGACCACGCCGATCCTCGCAGAGTGTGGACTCTTCGATCGCCAAGTTGTGCAGGCCCGCCGCCTTCAACGAGAAATTTTACTTGACGAGCTTCAACTGCCTTCGGTCGCGCGCGCGATTTCATCAGACTACGAGCAAAGATATCTATCTAGTGTAAAACACTGCAGCCCTTTCGCGCCAATCTCTTCTGTTGCTGTTGTAGCTTGCTAAAGCAGCCTCTTATGTAACGTGCTACTCGCTGGGGCGACTTGCCTGTGGTGCTACTTGCTACTGCTACTTGCTAGTGACACTTGCTGGTGTAATCCGCGCTCCAAGTCTTTCCTGAAGAATCCTTCACAAGGCTTTCGGGAACAAGAACAGTGAAGAAGACGGGTCTATGACAAACATGGCAAACTTCCTTTCACCCCAAGAACGCCTTTGCATGTCAACCAGGGAACAGTTGGGTCATTTCAGGGTGTTCATCCCTTTTAGTTGGGGGGACCAACCAAAAGGTCATTCAAAGCTAGAGTCTAGAGTGCATAAACCAAGTCACACAACCCCGCCACTCACATGATATAGACTGGCCCGCACAAAAATCCAGCTACCTCTCCCACCTGGTGTCCTTCTTTCCCAGAACCGGCCGACTGGTTTTGGTTCACTTGGGGTTCTAGAGTTCGGTTGGCATAAGTCGATAGCTGCTCTTAACCCTTGGCATCCGGTCACAGGACCATTTACTGAGATGCCCAGCGGCCACGGGGAAAGAAGGGCATCCTTTCTTTGTTGGTTGAGTTTCAAGGGGAACCCTTACCCAAAAAAAGAAAAGGGGCACCAATGGGCAACAGAGTTTAGACCTCCAAGCAATTGACGAAGCTCATCTTAGGTCTAGTTGGCACCCTTGTTGCTGACCCAGGGAAGCCTCATCAAAAAACACATCTTTTGATCCTCCCCATATTTCCCCTTTAAGCATCACCCCGCCAAAAGGAATCTTGGAACCTCACTTCAAATCGGCCCGAAAGGTGATACTTAAGACCTCCGGCTTTGCGTTTTCGCACGGAGGCTCAGTGTCGCGTTCCATCTTCTGGGGCACGAGCCCCGCCCGCGCGGACACCCATCTGAGCGGAAAGGAGAGTGGGTCCATTCCAGGGTTGGGCGCAATTAGTTCCAACCACCCTGTCCACTTTAAAGTGAAACAAGAGGAGGTTCGACAGGCGTATCCCATGGTTTAAACATGTTTAAACAAGGGCTAGGGCCACTCCTCTACTCTCTTGACTGACTGAAGGAATACCACAAAACGGTTTAAGAGAAACACCATCTAAAGGATGGCTTTCATGTTTGTCTTGCGGGGAGCATACCTAAATGGTGTATTGGCACAACCGCGCATTAGGGTCACCCACAATGCACGAAGAACCATGTCCCAAATATCCCCTTTCACGACTTCCTTTAAAAGACTTGAGGTTGATTTTGATGCCCCCTTGCAAAGTACTCAAAGAGGGCTAAAAGCGTGCAAAGATTGGCGGAATGCAGAGTTGGGTCATCTATGTTGTCTGAGCGGCACGGTCTTTTGGATGCTTTGGCCGTTGGGTGTGGTTGGAATTGGGGGCAGCCTGCATGTCTCTCGTCCTCGCCGAGTGACCAACTACCAATAACATAGCCCATTGCTCTTGTGATAGATCTGTGCATTGAATAGCCGTAAACTGCCTGTTGGCCTCTGAGGAAAAAAAAAAGGGACTCCCCTGAAACTATGGAATCAGCCTCTCTATTTCACAAAGAAGAGGACTGAAAAGGTAATCCCTGGCCTACTACGCCGCATAACATACTGTACGCCTCAGCCATGGCCATTACAATTTCTCTTCGACACCAGCTGGCAAGAAAAATATCACTGAAAGCCTTTGACAAGCTCATGTGCTAACTGTGTAGCGTAAAAAGGGCCTCCCAAAGACAGCCAGTTTAGCAAAGGGAAACGCAAAATAATGGGGTCTGTAAAAAGAGTTCCAAAGAGACCTACAGATACGAAACGACAACTAGGCCTTGGGTTCAATCCCAAACAGTGCCAAGCCGGAGATGGCCCATGCCATTCGCCAAGCGGAAAGAATCGGATCGCCCGGTGGACTCGCTTTGACCACGGACCAAGATGGGACAAAACAAGGGTCCCTTGATTTCTCTTTCTGGGACGCCGACAAACGGTTGCCAGGCGGGTTCCGCGCAACAACTCTCACGCCAATGTGTCTGCGTGTGTGTAAAAGAGGGAGTCATTTTGGTTCATACCCACTTTGCCCCTTCTTGCAGAAGCGGTGCAATGTTTGACACCAGGAATTCCCAGTTGCACCGCGCGTCGCGCTGCCTGCGTGCCCTGAAACCAGGCCCACTCCTCACAGACCTGGCAGTCGCAGAAGGCTACTAGGTAAGATGCGGCATTAAAAAAACAGATCCGTTGATGTCGTGAGCGCTTTCCCAAGCATCTTATGCTACTTATATTGTGTTCATACATTTTATGATGTGTATCACAAAAGTCATTCCACACTGTATGGGGAATCGGAAACAGTGGCTTCATTCGGGCTTCCATTCAAACCAGCCCGAAAACATGGGAACCCTCAAAAACCATTGATGGGCGGTCGCAAACCTCTTCGTGAGGTCGCGGTCGCAAACCCCTTCGTGAGGTCGCTAGAATTTGCCCAACTACCTCTGATTGGTCCGACTTAGTCGGGCCGACTTGCTTGCCATTCTTCTCCATACGCGTGGCAAACAGACTCCCTATGCATGTATTTTTTTCAATGGGCGACCAACACCCTAAGAAGGGGCTCATGACCAGACCTACCAACCCCAAGTAGAGGAGTGCTGTGACGATGGCACGTATGGTTCACGGTCTTTCGGCTGAAGTTTCAAGCGAAGCCAACTGGGATACCATCCCTGTCAGGGTCCGTCTCCCATGTTTGGACAAGCCCGCTAGTGAGATAAGGAAAACACATAGACAATGATATTTTGCCCTGTGCATATTCACCGATCTCCCTTTCAAAGGGCCATGGTCACTTTCCTTGAACATGCAAATCGAGTGCCATCTTTTCCGCTGTCAACAGCAAATCTTTGGGCGTCTCTTGAACACAAAGACCATTGTGGGCTTCCCTTTTAAACGCCACGCAGTTTTAGGACGCATGTGCGATGTCTATAGGGAAGCAGTTGTGTGATTGATCAAATCCCGAGTTTAGGAGCACCTGCTGAAGAAGCAGGAGCAACGGGTGCCCCAAAAAAAGAGCCTGACACAACCAAAGCGGTGAACCACTTTCAAACTCCGGGGTGTTCTCTGCACAAATGTCTAGACGTTTGAATTGGAAAGAACCGGCATCAGGGGTGATCTCGTTTTATCCTCCCCTTTGGAGAGCTCGTTATCTGTTTGCGCAGTGACATGAATCCGATGTTTCAACATCTCTCCTACCTTCTCCTACCTTCAGGGCCGTTTGGGCAGCGGAGGTTGCCCAATTCGATTCTCATTGCCCACAAGGGTCTATGGGGATAGGACCTGAGCTTGGCCAATGGCTTAGATGAAAGCCAGAGAAGCCTTCAAGGCAATGGATGAAATGCTGTTGGATGAAATCCATGGTTGAACCCGCCTTCGCTTGCGGCGTGTCCAGATAGCCTGGCCAAGTCTAGGGCCCAGTTTGGGAAAAAGGGCTCGGTTTTCAGTTAAAACGGGTGCCGATTTGTTCCAAAACGGTTTATTCAAATGAGCTAAGGCTAAGACTGACTTCCCTTTTCTTAGTTGATTTTAAGGGGGCACCCTTCCCCCGAAGGAAGAAAGGGAGACCACCTCCCAACTGGGACAAAATGGGGTGCCGACCGCTCACAGCCGCGCTCGGCTCGCGAACCCCGATCTCACTCGAAAGGACCCGGAAGCTTCCGAGGGTTCTTTTGTGGTCAGAACAAGCCGAGGGCACCTAGGGCAAAAGACACCCTAGCTAACCCAAATTGAAAGGTGACGCGCTCCCAATTCGGAATCTGCCGAATTCCCGTGGTCTTTGGGCTGGGTAGGGTTGCCTTAAATGTGCAGGGCCGGCCAAAGGACTTGACGTGAACAACGTTCGCGCGTGCATCCCGCAACTCACTTCCCAAGTGGCCCGAAAAGGTTAGCCCCGCAAGAAAAGCTGCAGGCCAAGGAGGTCCAATGTCTGAAGTGCCGAAACCGGACATGTGGTTCTTCAAACAAGTGTCCCTTTGCTTGCTGCTTTGGGTGATCCTTTGGGTCACTTGAATTTGCATTTTGTTGGGTGGAGAAATGGTTATGATGGTTATGGTGAATATAGAAAACCCTGCCCCGCAAAGGGAAAAGAAAGGCGAACCCAAACAGAACACGGTCCCCCGATGCTTGAGATGCCAAGATTAGCTATGCGAGCCACCGTCAACCTGTACAGGAACGCAGGTGAGACTTTTAAGGCGCCCCTGTTCTCCCGCAAATCAATCGTAGGCCATTGGTAGCAAGTCGAACTCAAAACGAATCCATCTGCCGTAAGCTTGGGAAGGGTCTGGAATGGTCGGCTACCTCGTCGCTGTCCGCAACGATCAAAAGGGAGATCAGCCACTTTGAGAAACAAAATGCTGGCGAAAGCTTCGATAGAGGTCATCCTAAGCATCGCTGACTGCATGATCTCTTTTGCTGCAAATGATGGAGATCCGAAGTACTCCCAAAACCAAGACTGCTCCAACGACCCTGCCAGAGTAGAAGCTTGACCCCGGAAAGGGAAAACACGGGAATCCTACTGCCAATTCTCGGCCCTTGTGGTTCTTGTGTCTTGTGTCTGTGTCTATGTCTCCGGGCGCGCGTGCGCCTGCACATGCGTGCGCGTATGTGTTTGCGTGCGCGCGTGCGTGTGTCTCTGTCTCTGTCTCTGTCTGTGTCTGTGTCTGAGTCTGTGTCTGAGTCTGTGTCCGTGTCTGTGTTTCGCAGACTCAATGGGATCTGGCTCATGAGTGAAAAACGGGGCGCGGCACATGGTATTTTGCCCTGGTATGACACAAGGACTGGCGGACACCCTCAACGCTGATTTGCACAAGTATCCCAAATGCTAGACTTGCGAGCTCCCTTCACTCGTTGGAGGGGTAGGCTTTCATGTCTCTGGACAAGTTAGAACGAAGTCACCTTTTCGAGGGCTGGGGTAAAAGGAGCTCACTCACGGTGAAAATCGCTTTCTTAGGGATTCCTTGTTGCAGGTTTGTGAAGTTTAGTAATTTGCACAGAGTGGGCACTCTGCATCTCAACGCACAAGACACAAGACACCAGAAACGAGACACAAGACACAAGACACCAGACACAAGACGCGGACACATACCCACAAGACACAGACATAGACGCAGACACAGACACAAGACGCAGACACTGACACGCAAGACGCAGACACAGACGCAAACAAAGACACAGACACATCTCACGCACAGACACACACACACACACACCCATATGCGCTATGGTCAAAACACATGAGCTGGC